TTTTCTCATAAAACTAAAAGCATGAACCAAACTAACATGCCAATCACGATTATTATGAAACGAAACACACTTTTTACACGCATATTTAAAGAATATCGTCGACGCCCAGTAAAAACCAATAAATAAATACCAAGTAGAAACATAGGGATGGGCTTCATACTCGGGAGGGGCTTACGATCGGGGAAGTACGGTACTTTAACGCAATTGGGCTTTCACTCTCAGAATACTGTGTTTCAAATGCATAAGGCTCTAACCCAAGTTTTAAAAAGCACATTGTGCATATAATAGTTGAGTTTATACTCATAGTACACAATGCTTGGCAGCATGAACGGCTATGTACAATGGCGTATAAGAATGCGATCAGATACTAAAACATCATAGCTTTGAAAAGTACCCGGATGTTAAATATGTTCGTTCGTTAATTATTCCCCTCCATGAATGGCCTCCATGGGCAGTACTTCAAATGCCTATCCAAGCTACAGTTATAATTAAAACAAAATTAAACCACTGCAATATTATTTCGAATACAGTTTAGAATATACACAACTATAAATTAAGGCCGCATTTAGGTTCGCTTTAACTCTTTTTGGAATACTCGAACGTTCATTCCAATTACGCATGACAGAATAAGCTCTTGTAATATCGATTAATATATACCAGTCAACGACTGGTTGACACATGATTAGCGGAGAACCGCAATATTGCTAACATAACTGAATGTTCGTTCGCTTTACAGGTTGGTTTCGACCACAGGGACCTGACGATCTATTCGTGTCAATACATGGACGTCCTGTACATGGCCTGACCCTTGCTCAAAATAATATAAATTATATAATTAATACAGTTTGGTAATGAAAAGAAAGCATATTTCATTAAATTGAAGTGTGAACGCTCCGAAAGGCGAAACCCCGAAAAATCACTAATACTTGTTTCCAGCCGATCAGCCTGAACTATATATAACAAGGGTAGAAACATAATATGCACACATTTTTTCAGCTGCCAAAAATCATACCAGCACATATCACAACCTGTCCAGAGTTTTGCATATTATACTTGTGTTGGAATATACAACTTGTTGCATAAACCTCGTCAAACGTTTTGAAATTCTAAACGTTGTCAATGCTAACATATTCCCTTTTATATGACCTACGTGTTTAGCATAAGCTGTATGTGAACCCGACATACTTTTGGTTGTGTAGTACAGACGCAGTACAATCAAATCTATGTCGACGTCATCGCTACAAATTATAATTCTCTCAAAATTAGACGACCTAACAGTGCATGGAATATCCTTCTGTTTTCTGCCTCCTCATGTGTATTTGAGCCCCCTGGCAAGTCATTTGCATCAGTCCTTTTTACACACTTTACCAAATGGTCATCAACAGAACCACCAGCAATAATCACATGCTGGTGATCTGTGAGAATTTGTGGGCCTGACAATACTATATATTCAGAGGTAAAATCTGCCAGCGCTGCTTTGTTAGCTGTAACTATTATGAATTGCCTGTAACTGTACATTTAACTCCCCTTGATCACATTGGTGACTCTTTTTTCTTTTCCACGTCCTCGTCTTTCAGCTTGTTTGATTGATTGGTGATTTTCATACCAAAACACCAAGGTTACCAATAAGTATGCCTGACAATGTCTGCATTACTTGATTGCTTACTTGTAACCAAACGTGCTGAAACGTGTTTCCATGTATTCAGGTTACGTATTTCTTGATATGTTGACTCGAGCTTATTAGGAAGGTCACACGTTGTACAATTTCTCATGGTAGCACCGTCATGGAAGTGCGAAAAAAGCACTGCAAGTTCATGTAAAAGGACCGATTGCAGATTCACAAATCGCTGTATAGAAACAACCTGGAGTTGACAAAACAGGACCTCTGCTTCAGCAATGCCTTTGTTTGTCATTAATAATGTCCGCATGTCTGAAAAAGTGAGTGTTTCATGTGGGATTCAGGACCCCCAAAACTCTGTTTTAGTGTTTTGCCAGTCTTGTAGGGAAGTGTTTGTATTTCTTTATATCTAGGAATTTAGTTGGGCTTCTCCTTATATCTGCTGAGGTCATTTTTCCTGTAGCAATTTAGATCAGCTGTAAAGAAAGGAATCTCCAGATCGAATGGTCCAGCTCGTATTGAGAGATGGTTTTTATTATATTACTTACATGCATCACCTCCATCATTTGCTAATCTAGACTTCCCTAATTTATTGAGAGGCTGATCAATTTTAGTTATGGTATTTGAAAGAAACTTGAATGGTTCCAGATACTCGGCAGTAACATGTTCGATCATCAGCCATCGTGAAAGATCACCCTTGCAGAGTGTTAAGCCCACAACACTTCATTCACGTTTTTCCATTTCTATTCACAGTCTTTTTAAGAGCTTGGTCTGTTGTAACACTGTTGAAGTCGCGGTTGACTGATTTTCTGACAGTAAATCCACTATCACGCATTTGTTACACAAGCGGAACGCTATAGTCGCTTCCTGTTAGATATGTTCCCATACAACGCATGTAAAATACATGGTTTGTTAACATATTAATCACACCCAGGTGTAAAAATTATGTCGGGTGACTGTCATTTCAACATACACCGCATGATTTATAACATACTACAATGATTTATGATATCAGTTCGAATATGCGGATGCATGATTTATAACATACTACAATGATTTATGATATCAGTTCGAATATGCGGATACATACAAGTTATCGTTAGTCAAGATATTATTATTTTAATATTTTATGTGGACTTAAATTGTTGTATGCATTTGTTTCATTTACAAGAGAATGTTGAACCACAATATATTGTTTCTTGAAAGCTCATTGAAAGTCATTATACTATTGACACACTGAATATGTGGACAGCTTAGTTCAGTTGTTTTTAAAAAAAAAAGTATTGAAAAATAGACTTGGTAAGATTTTTGCCATCTTCTATCCTACTAATATACAGACTGATTAAGTACACAATATGCAGTAAGATGATTCATAATTAGTCTGCATAAAACATTGTAAAATAATCGATGCAATAATTAGTTTCATTTTGTGTATGATGTGCATTGTAGCCAATATATTTAAAATGCCAAATGCCACATAATAATAAAGTTCAGTTTACATGTTTGTGTTTCAATGTTTGAATAGTTTTCTGAATTCAAGATGACAATTATTTCACCAGTGGAAAAACATCAGTAACTGTTATGGTATTGATATTATATTCGCATAATTAATGATAAGTTAGATGTCTACGTTTCAATTACAGTACATTTATTTATCTGTATTGACATTTGAAACACGTTAAATGTACTAACATATGTTTGAACATCATAGTTTGAACGTCTGTGAACCACAAAATATTCACTTATTTTGCTTTAATAAATTACAGTATTTTATCAGCTCAGGTGTCATCAAATTTAAAATTCATTCGGTACATCCAAATTGAAATCGCAACACGTTTATATTTGTTATGCTTTATAGGTCTTTCACATTGCTTTTTAAGAATTTGATTACCGACGTTCGACTTCCTCTGTATGTAGTAGAGTGCAGACGCACGATTACTGTGACAATAAATAGAGCTACCGTTTTCTCATCAAGCATATACTTTATTGTATATGGTTTAAGGGTATAGGCAAATACCGAAATGGAATATTACAGTAACTTATTTCCTGAAACAATATATACTTGTATAATATAATAATCATGCGTGATATATATATATGCATACAAATTATGTACATGGACGTCATCAAAGATAAATATTAGGTGACAATTATTTAATTTAATTAATTAAAAAGAAATTTGTTTTGAATACTAACATTTGCAATACCAACTTAAGATTAAAGTGAAGCACTCTGCTAATGTATTTAATACACTGTCCATTATATAATATACTAGTAAAGCATGTACAATATGATATCATCCGTCCCCTTCTGTCATAAGTTTACCAATACTAATTGCATCTATATTTATTTTCGTAAGAACTAATAAATTTAATAATGAATGTGCCTGGAATCATTGGATTCTTTACTGTGGTTTAGGAGGCAAACTATCATCATATGTACCTTGATCGTAGGCTGGAGGGGGAGGCATATACGAGTGTACCGTCTGTGGTTGTGTTGTGGTCATGTTAATTGAAGTTATTTCTTGTTGCGTCGCAGGTTCTTCTGTTGAACTTGATTTTTTATCTCCGATGCAGCTAAAACACAACATTCCACAACATGCACAAATTAACATCACTCCGCAAGTCACCAACAGGAGTGCTGCAATGGCGATACCAATAATAGCCCATATCGTCAGCCATGTTCCTACATAGAATGAAACAATAATATTAGAACCACGAGGACCTGAATCCCCAACTACTTCGCAAATTTATCAGTTATTTATCTGGACATTCCATTTAGTCAGATGAATCCCCACAGTTACGTTATAATGTACCTACCAACTATTTTGCATATTAATCAGTTATTTACCTAGACATTCCATTTAATCAGATGAATTCCAACGGTTACTGTTATAATGTACCTACCAACTACTTTGCATATTAATCAGTTATTTACCTAGACATTCCATTCAATCAGATGAATTCCAACGGTTACTGTTATAATGTACCTACCAACTACTTTGCATATTATTCAGTTATTTACCTAGACATTCCATTCAATCAGATGAATTCCAACGGTTACTGTTATAATGTACCTACCAACTACTTTGCATATTATTCAGTTATTTACCTGGACATTCCATTTAATCAGATCAATCCATACAGTTTCTGTTATAATATACATACCGACAACTATGCATATTATTCAGTTATTTACCTGGTCATTCCATTTAATCAGATCAATCCATACAGTTTCTGTTATAATATACATACCGACAACTATGCATATTATTCAGTTATTTACCTGGTCATTCCATTTAATCAGATCAATCCATACAGTTTCTGTTATAATATACATACCGACAACTATGCATATTATTCAGTTATTTACCTGGTCATTCCATTTAACCAGATCAATCCATACAGTTTCTGTTATAATATACATACCGACAATTATGCATATTATTCAGTTATTTACCTGGTCATTCCATTTAACCAGATCAATCCATACAGTTTCTGTTATAATATACATACCGACAATTATGCATATTATTCAGTTATTTACCTGGACATTCCATTTAATCAGATGAGTTTCTACAGTTTCTGTTATAATGAACCTACCAACTACTTTGTATATTAATCAGTTATTCACCAGGACATTCCATTTAATCAGATGAATCCCTACAATTTATGTTATAATGTACCTATCAACTGCTTTGCATCTTAATCAGTTATTTACCTGGACATCCCCATTCATCAGACGAGTCCCGGCAGTTGGTTTTTTTATCACATTCTAGTTCCGCATCTATACATTGATCATTGCTGCATTGAAATTCTGATGTTGAGTTACAACGATGGTTATCATTGGCTGAAATAAAACAGGAAACCCATTATAGGGGTCGATGGTGTGTCAAGTGGTTGATATATTATAGATGCTGTTTCTTCTAATCATTTACTTTGTTACTATGTGATTTCATCAGTCATTCAGTGTACCAGTTTTCCCTGTACATTCTTATAGAAAATGGACATCTCTATATCCAATGTATATTCATATAGCAAATAGACACTACTATAGCCAAAGGATATTCATATAGCAAAAAGACACTACTAAAATCAATGGATATTTCTATAGCAAATAGACAATACGATAGCCAATGAATATTCATATAGCAAACTATAGCCAATGAATATTTCTATAGCAAATAGACAATACGATAGTCATTGAATATTCATATAGCAAATAGACACTACTATAGCCAAAAATATTCCTATAGCAAATAGACTCTACTATAGCCAATGGATATTCCTATAGCAAATAGACAATACGATAGCCAAAGGACATTCCTAAAGCAAATGGACATCCATATAGCCAATGGGTATTCATATAGCAAATATATACACTGCTATACCCAATTGATATTCCTATAACAAATATACACTACCATAGCCAATGTATATCCCTATAGCAAATCGACACTACTATTGCCAAAGGATATTTCTATAGCAAATAGACAATACCGTAGCCAATGGATATTCCTATAGCAAATAGACACTACTATAGCCAAAGGATATTCCTATAGCAAATAGACACTACTATAATCAATGGCAAATAGGCACTACTATAGCGAATGGATATTCCTTTAGCAAATAGACACTACTATAGCCAAAGGATATTCATATAGCAAAAAGACACTACTAAAATCAATGGATATTCCTATAGCAAATAGACACTACGATAGCCAATTTGATATTCCTATAGCAAATAGACACTACTATAGTCAATGGATATTCTTATAGCAAATAGGCACTACTATAGCGAATGGATATTTCTATAGCAAATACACACAACGATAGCCAATATATATTCATATAACAAATAGACACTACTATAGTCAATGGATATTCTTATAGCAAATAGGCACTACTGTAGCGAATGGATATTCCTATGGCAAATAGACATTAAGATAGCCAATGGATATTCCTATAGCAAATAGACACTACGACAGCCAATGGATATTTCTATAGCAAATGAACATGCCTATAGCCAATGGGGATTCATATAGCTAATGGTCATTCCTATAACAAATGAATATTTTATAGCAAATAGACACTTCTATATCCAATGGATATTCATATAGCTAATGAAAATTCCTATAGCCAATTAATATTCCGATAGCAAATGGTCATTTTTGTAGCCAATGAAAATTCATACTTCAAATGGAAATTCTTATACTCAAAGGACATTCCTATAGCCAATGGACATTCATATTGTAAATGGAAATTCCTATAGCAAAAGAACATTCCTATAGCCAATGGATATCCATATAGCGAATAAACATTCCTATAGCAAATGAACATTCCTATAGCCAATGGATATCAATAACATTCATATAGCCAATATACATTCACGTAGCAAATGAAAATTGTAATTGTCCTGGGACATTCGGTTTGCCAATGAAAACTAGATGGTTCCACTAGAGGGCGCTATTGCCAGTAGACATGATAATGCCAATGACAATTATATAATAAAAATGGAGGTACAGACATATTTCACTTACTATTATGGTATGAAGTGAAGACAAGACTGAATCCCTTGTCCCTTCTACTGGAATCTGTAACCATTCTGAGTGTCAGAGAAGTGCCACTTGAAGAAAAATCAGCTGGTCGATAAGAGCCACATATTCGTTTTATCAATGGTGATGACGTATCGGGGCCATCGTATATTTCAAGGTAGTCTGCACAGCCACTTAAGTGTGATTCTAAGTCAATCCAATCGAACTGTCAGAGAGCAGAAAATAATGACAAATCTTGGATTGAATATTTTAAGTCGGATTGTTTAAGACAGTTAAGTAACTACGTCACAGTGTGTTTATCATAATCCAGTCCCAACAAATTGGGTCGGTATAGTAGAGTAATCAAAGAAAAATATAAACGCAAAAAAAAATCAATAAGAAAGACTGTTTTGACTAAAAATCTGTTAATGATTTAAAAGACCACAATGCATGTCGGTAAATGTTAGTTTTTCGTGGAAAATCTTCAACTGAGCAGTTTAGAATTTAGAGCAGGGTATTACAATGTCAATTTCAGAAATTGTTTTTTTTTATGTCGTGGGAACTTATATATACATAAAACTAATCACACTAGAGTTGAGTTGTTCAATATAACACATGTGATTTACAGTACGTAATAAACAATACAACAACTTACATCTATAAATATCTTCTGGTAGTCATGGACGGTTTTTAATACGAGGACACAGTCCAAATCATTTTCATAATACTTAGGATATTGTGAATATAGTCTCTCACCCTTGTGTTGTAATTCACTGTCACACATCTCTCGCATATAAACTGGAATGAATAAATATTAGTCATTTTCAGCGAAAAACAGAGTTGATTGATTGATTGATTGATTGATTGATTGATTGATTGATTGTACCCTCAATTACGGATATTTGGATCAAGGATACGTTCCGTTTTTTTCTACATCGTCAAGCAGACGCTCTCCGACAGTTTGATATATATGACATGAAGGCCAGGTGTACATAAGTCATATTATTGTGTAATGATTCACTGAAGCGTTTTTTTAAACAGGAATAAACAATGATTAAAAGTCCTACACCTTAAATATACATATCAATGTTTGTTCCCTGTAATCCCATGCCACGCTCTGTGACAACGGTCAAAGGTCGAGTGAACACGTCATCATGTGGTTGGCAGTGATATCGCATCAAAGTGTGTAAGTCAAAGGTCGGTCACACCCGTCTGTCGACGAGTAGATTGTCTGTTAATGTCACGATAAATTTTCATATTCGATACAAATATATGTTTCGTATTTTATGCCATTCATGCATAATCGCAAGAACAAGGAACATTTTTTATCAAATCGGCGTATAAAATAACGGGTTGATTGTAAATAATTAACTTCAAAGAATTGTACCGTGGGGAAAATGAGGTCATTGAGACTAGACAAGATAGTACATGGCAAATATGAATACTGCGCTTACATCGGTAGTGTGATAAATATCAGATTTAAGTGTATGACTCGGCGCGGGTTATTAGTGCTAATGACACGTCTCACGTACATAGAGAATAGATAATCAACATTTTTTAGTTAATTTATTTTGTTGACCTTCAGCTGTTATCACTGATGTTCCCTTATCATGCGATGTACTGCCACTCGATTCGAAGCACGCCCCCTGTGCCAGTTTTAAATTTCATGTCGTCATTTGCCTTGTACTGATTGCCGGTGGATCCTTAATAAAAGCCGAATTTAATTCTTTGAAAATTCACCGTGCTTAAGTGTCCCTTCCGGCGATGACTGCCTCGCCGGACGGCATCCGGGAAATATGTGTTTAGGTTCTATGGTGCTCTTATAGCAATATAATTTATATCCAAGTTATTCCGTCACCAACTTGAACTTTTCCGAGTTACTGATCGTTTCTTGCGTTGTTTTACTCAATCCTGGGACAATATAATAAAAACATTATGCCGTAACGGCAAAGCTATATAAAACGCCAATTGTGTCTACATCGCCCCTATATGCTATACTCGATACTTACAGGCTCCGTGAAGTCCGTTCACTGATAACATCATACACACCGCAAAGGTGGTAAATATTCTTGATAACTCCATGACTGTTAATATGTATTGTCGTTTCTCCTGGGTTGTCTGTCTATGTGTTATGGCGAAGTTTCTGTCTAGAGGAAGTTCGTTATGTGTTGACTAAATGATGTTAATATTTAGCATATTGTTAATATTTGAGGACGATTTCACAATAGATAATGACGTGAATGATTGAGATCAGGTTATCAGTCAGTTACTGAGATCAACAGGTAGCAAACAAACTTACAGATCTTGATTACCATGCTCTCTTTAGGGCAACGTACTACATCACAGTAATCTAATCCGTGACCAGTG